CTCCTTCGGAAAACTGGGTCTTGGAGGCCAAATTTTTTGCCAGTGCCTTATGTACACAAGGTCATAAACAAATACCCTTCCTGAGACTACCCAAGCTGCTAAAAGCCTCCCTTGATTGTCAGGACAGCAGCATTTGTTTTCATTTGAGTGTTCTAAGTAGCCGCTGACTAAAAGCATCAAAAAAGAATTAAACTTCTAAACAAAACCTCCCATACTCCCTTCTTTGATATGACAATTCAGAGCTTGTCCACTCGCGCCCTGTGACTTCAGAAGTGTGTTACACAGGACACTCCAGAAGTTGGGTTAATCTGCTTTTTACAAAGTGCAGGAAGTGGCAAATTAGACACCATCTTTGAAAAAATGGTTTCTTAAATGGCACATAAACACAAAAGATACAAGGTGAATGATTTTTATAGATATCTACAGATATCTGAAGAGCCAGATTCAGATAATAGTAAATTAAGTACCCTTTTGTACACATTCACATGGTGATCATGACAAGTTATTGCCTACTATTTAAAATACATAATAATAAACCATGTACTCTTTTCAATGGCCCTTTACAGTTGACCTTTTGAACTTTCACTTGTGTGAATGTCACAAGGACTTGTCATAGGAACAGCAGATGTTACACTCATTGTATGCTCATTTGGGTCTAAGAGAAGTAAATATTTTGATCAGGATCATAAAGCCCTAAGTGACAAAACAAGCGGTTGGGGGGGCAGTGGTGGGGGGAGGTTCATGACAGTAATCCTAGCACTTTGGGAGGCCGAAGCAGGCAGATCACGAGGTCAGGAGATCGAGACCATCCTGGCTAACACGGTGAAACCCCGTCTCTACTAAAAGTACAAAAAATTAGCTGGGCGTAGTGGGGGGTGCCTGTAGTCCCAGCTACTGGGGAGGCTGAGGCAGCAGAATGGCATGAACCCGGGAGGAGGAGCTTGCAGTGAGCTGAGATCTGGCCACTGCACTCCAGCCAGCCAGGGCTACAGAGCAAGACTCCGTCTCAAAAAATAAAAATAAAAGCAAGCACCAGAACTCTCAAAAGTTCGACTGATCCTGACCCACTGCTCTGAATATTATCAATCAGAGCTCTGATTAAATACTGTCATTATTTTAAACAGAAACCTCTCCTATTACACAGGTTTTGCTGCATTTAAGATAAAAAGATTTAAAATCAGGGTAGGGAGGGGAAGTAGGTCATGAAATGTATCCCAAACTCTACCCCACTGGCAGCACATTCTCTCTGCCAGTTGATCTGCTGGGCTGGTTAGCAGGAACGGTTTGCCTACATAAACAGTGTCTGAGAAAATTAGCATCAGTACCAAAGTCTCTACAGCCAGCAGTTTCAAGTTAATGCAGCTCAGTCCCTCCTTGGCCTGAGGCATTACAAGACAGGATGGCCTGCCAGTTCCAGAGGCAAGAAGGAAGTCACTGTATGTTGGGACAGAATCTGGAATCACAAACAATGGAGCGTTTAAATCTACACCAGGAGCAGCTTCTTGTTTTAACAGATTCAGGACATTGGAACAACTCACTCCTTCTAAACGTTTAGTCTATTAATAGATCCACAATTACAATAAACTTGTTTAATGTCTAACAAACTAAGTCTAAATCAAATATCTATACAACAATTGAGATCATTATATGGTCTTCCTGAGGAGAATATACAGATAAAATACTCCACCACAAGGAAAAGGGTCCATATTTATTTTTTACCTACTCATTCAAACATTATAAATTTAAAAAATTTTTATATATTAAATACCCCTTAAAGGGGTACAACCGCAGGCTTCCTACCTGCATATATTGTGTGGTGGTGAAGTCTGTGCACCCATCATCCGCATAGTGAACACTGTACCAAATAGGTCATTTTTCAAGCCTCACCCCTGCTTGAAATGCTTGTTCCCTGGTGCCAAAAAGAAATAGCACTTGAACATACATTTAATTTACTCAGCAAGGCCATTTTCACTTCCTGCAGAAAGGGTACGCTTGCCAGCAGTTTTGTCACGAGAGTACACCGAACAAAGGAGACAGGGTCATTTGTATCCTGACGCGTTCACCCTACTGCTGTGTCCGGTTTCCATTGGCTGGAACGGGACCTCACATTTGGTATTTGTCCCAATTGGCTAGCAACGTAGAAATTTTTAAAAGAGGCAAAGGCAGAGGAGAACAAAGGAAGAGGAAGTAACTTGTGGAATGCTGAGAAAGGTAAAAACACCTTTAAATAAGGAAGAGGGACAGCTATGACCTAATGCTTGCTTGGACCACTATAAACATGCCAGGGAAAGTATTCAGGCTAAATTGTGGGAGCTAAGAACATGAAATATATTGATTTCTTTATTATGGTTAGCAGATACTTAAGAATGTTAGCACAGATCTTTGAATAAATTTTGCTTTTAAGAGAAGTTACTACTTATTCCTAATTAGATGGGGACGAAAGTCTTTGAAGACGAACCTCTACTTTACTTTTTACACCCCCATCCCCCACCTTTTATAGTCTCCAATGTCTATAATATTCCATTCTGTATGTCCCATACACCCATCATTTAGCTCCCACAAATTCATTCAGCAAACATTTGAGTGTTGCCCACCAGACACCTAAACAGGTACAGATAATACAGGGGTTATTAAGACATTATTTTAGCTAGATACTAAGGGTAAAGGTTCTTGGTGGAAATTTTCCTGTAACAAGAAACAACCCCTGAACCATCTCTTTTATAACAGAAAAGGTGACTTGAAGGGCCAGGCCAGCAAGCTTTGATATGCAAATACCAGCCATTAGAAACTAGCTTCACTCAATATAGTGATTCCAGCCATCTTCTCCTTGTCACCAGTTGTGCCAAGTGTGATGGCCACCTCCAGATAACACCATGTGTTCAAACATCATAGACTCACCTTTGCATATTACTGGGCTAAGGTGGGAGGGCCAGGTTTTTTGTAGGCTACATCAATGACACACCCGGTCAAACCAATCTCCTGGGTTTTAAGAACTAATTCTTTTCTTATCTCTATTATTATCACTACTCAATCAAGTTTCCAGTCCAGGGCTACTCAAAGGATGGTCCAAAGACCGGCAGCATCTGAATGCAAATTATTGTGCCCTAACTTTGCATACTGAGTTAGAACCTCTCGGGCAGACCCAGGAGTTTCTCCAGGGGATTCTTTTATACATTAGAGTTGAGAAACATCAGCCTAGTCAATTAAAGGTGTGAAAGAGACTCTCGTTAGGCAGTGTTTGATCTTACCAATTTTCTTTGCCAAGGTAATGGGTAAGGCATCTTGGGGTAACACTGCTAAGAGGATGACTTGTAGTGACGAAACTCGGGTAGAATGTATGAATCACAGCTGGTGGCCTCGCTCAGGCTTGAATGGTCCCTCCCCTGAACTCCTCACCCTTCAAGACACCACCTCTGTGAAGCTCCCCTCCCGCTACTACTCAATTCTCAATAGACAATTGACCTCTTCATGCTCTCCATGTCAAGTGGAAGGTTTGGTTTGTGTGCACCTTCCCTGTAAACTCACTGAGGACAGACACCAGGTTGGAGTCATCTCAGTATCCAGGCACCCAGGATGGTGGACAGCCATAAATTGATGGGGAGGAGCATGAGCCCTGCCCCAAATCTCAGGGGACCCACGAGGCATCTACTTTGGTGCCACATGACAGCCTCCTCTGGGGACGACACTGGCATCACAGGCCCACCCCTCCCCATCAGCTACTTTACACCCTTGCATTTCTCTAACCTGGCAGACTCAGGAAACAAGGGACCCACAGATTCAAGCCAGAAAGCTGTAGCGGGAATCATAGAATAAGTGGTGCACTGAGTGAAGACTGACAGCACATCAGAGTGGTCAGACAGCAGAGTGCCCTAGGCTGTGTAAAGAATTGTTGCGGGAAGTCAGGGACTCCAAACGGAGGGACCAGCTGGAGCCACGGCAGAGGAACATAAATTGTGAAGATTTCATTTTAATATGGACATTTATCAGTCCCCAAATAATACTTTTATAATTTCTTATTCCTGTCTTACGTTAATCTCTTAATCCTGTTATCTTCATAAGCTGAGGATGTACGTCACCTCAGGACCACTGTGATAATTGTGTTAACTGTACAAATTGATTGTAAAACATGTGTGTTTGAACAATATGAAATCAGTGAACCTTGAAAAAGAAGAGAATAACTGAGTTTTAGGGAACAAGTGAAGACAACCATAAGGTCTGACTGCCTGTGGGGTCGGGCAAAAAGAGCCATATTTTTCTTCTTGCAGAGAGCCTATAAATGGACATGCAAGTAGGGAAGATATCGCTAAATTCTTTTCCTAGCTAGAAATATTAATATTAATACTCTGGGAAAGGAATGCATTCCTGGGGGGAGGTCTATAAATGGCCACTCTGGGAATGTCTGTCTTATGCAGTTGAGATAAGTACCGAGATATGCTCTGGTTTCCTGCAGTACCCTGAGGCTTATTAGGGTGGAGAAAAACTCCACCCTGGTAAATTTGTAGTCAGACCAGTTCTATGCTCTTGAACCTTGTTTTCTGTTAAGATGTTTATCAAGACAATATGTGCACCACTGAACACAGACCCTTATCAGCAGTTCTGCTTTTGTTCTTTGCCTTGTGATCTTTGTTGGACCCTTATCAGTAGTTCTGCCTTTGCCATTTGTCCTGTTCCCTCAGAAGCATGTGATCTTTGTTAGACCCTTATTAGTAGTTCTGCTTTTTGCCCTTTGCAGCATGTGACCTATTCCCTGTTCTTACACCCCCTCCCCTTTTGAAACCCTTAATAAAAACTTGCTGGTTTGAGGCTCAGGTGGGCATCATGGTCCTACCAATATGTGATGTCACCCATGGGGGCCCAGCTGTAAAATTCCTCTCTTTGTACTCTTTGTCTTTATTTCTCAGCCAGCCAACACTTATGGAAAATAGAAAGAACCTACACTGAAATACTGGGGGTAGGTTCCCTCGATATCTGGCACGCCAACATGGTTTTCTTTTTCCTAGGTGCATGTGGGAACCTGATTCCCTTTGGTAGGTGTGGAGAAACATTCATTGGTCCGGTCCACAGAAACGCTTGTTTGGCTCCCTGACGATTGGTGAGTTGTCTGTGTATTGTCCGGGGTAACTACGGGTCACACAGAGTCTAAACGTTATGCTTATCTCTGCTATATTAAACTCCTGTTAAAACAGGGGGGAGTTCAAGTGCCCATGGAAAATATGGTCACCCTATTCAGTGACCATATTCAGTGACTGTCCTTGGCTTCCTGAGAGGGGAATGTTAGATGTGGAACTATGGGATCGTGTTGGTGCAAAACTCCAGGAACTGGTCCCGACAGGAAATTATGTTCCCGTCACTGTTTAGGGTGATTGGGCCTTGGTACATGCCATCCTAATGCCATACCAATCTTGTGACCCCTGCAGTTACCACAATTTTTTGAATCTGGTGACCCTCTACCTCTTCCTCAGCTTTCCTCTCCCACTCAGCCTGTTATCTGCTCAGCCTTTCCCTTCGCCTGCTCCTCCCTCACCTGACAATACTGAGGATTCAATATCTAACTCCGGTGACTTTGGCTTAACGTCACCCCTGGATGACCTTATTTATTTTCACAAAGAGCTGGTACTTGTAGCTCCCACGGCCCTGACTCGGACAGCCAGGGACCATATCTATGCTAACTCTTCACTCTTCAAACCTTTGCAGCCTTTGCCTCCGGAGCCATCTAATGGCTCTGGGACCAAACTACAATTTACCTGTAATTCTGCAGGCCCTCCCCAGTCCACCACAGCCCCTCACCCTCCTGTCATTTCAGTCCCTCCACCGGTCACTTTGCCATCCACTCTACCTTCTTCTCTGTACCCTTCTTCACGCATGGACACCCCTGCCACTCTGGTTGCACAGGATTGGGACAATAATTACCAGTATGCTTCTGCCTCTGCCTCTTCTGCTCCCCCAATGCCCCTTTCTCACGCTCTCATACTGGTCTGACCGCCTCAACCTCAGTTTCCCTTATCCACACATACTTTTCCTGTCACTTCTATGCCAACTCCGTCTCATGTGCCTGTTCTTGAAACTTCCATGCAATGCTTATTACGCCAGAACAAAGAAACAAGTGGATCAGAGGTGTGGGTTTATCCAGTTGCACTAGAACCTCCCAATGCTCAACGGATACAAGTGCGTCGATATGCGCCGTTCAATCTTACCTTTATAAAATAATTCAAGGATGCTTGTACTCAGTATGTTCCTACTTCTCCATATGTTAAAATGGTATTACAGACTCTGCACTGAGATTGTTTTGCTTCCTTTAGACTGGGATCTTTCGGCAAAAGCTCTTCTAACTCCATCTCAGCATTTACAATTTTGTACCTGATGGTCAGAGGAGGCGTGTCTGCAGGCTCAGCTAAATCGGGCTGATGGCATTCCAATTACTCAGGCTCAGCTCACAGACTCCAATAATTACTTTGACACTACCGCCCAATTAGGCTTTGATGCTTTCACCACAGAACAAGTAACAAAGGCGTGTAGGCGAGCTTGGGATAAATTACAGACCAAGCTCCTGTTTCCTTTACTACTGTTAAACAGGGTCACAATGAACTGTGACTTTTTGGCTAAATTACAAGATGCTGTTGAAAAATCTGTCTCTGATGAGCGTGCTCAAGGTATTCTCCTTCATATGTTAGCTTTTGAGAATGTGAACCATGAGTGTAAAATGGTCATGCGCTCCATCCAACGACAAAATTTACCTGATCATGAGGTGTTGCCTGCATATATTAAAGCTTATGAAGGCACTGGATCGGAGACCCACAAAGCTATTCTGTGGGCATGGGCCACGAAGGACGGCAACCAAACTGGCTCAACTGATTCTTTTCTTGGAGCGTGCTATAATTGTGGTCAACTTGGTCATGCTCGAAAAAATTGCAGTGTTAAAAACTTAAAGGCGGGCAAGCCGGCTCAACAAACATGGCCAAATGCTCCTGCTACTGTTTGCCCTCGTTGTCCTAAAGGTAAACATTGGGTAAGCACCTGCTGCTCTAAGTCTGATATAAAACTAAAGTTATCACAGTTCATACTGGTCTCATTAATTCTGATTCCTTCGATGAGATTAAACTTATGGTGTCTGCCAAGGTTCCTGTTTCCATTCCAGCTGATGAGTCAATTGCTCAATTACTTTTACTACCTAATATTGTTTTAAACAAAGGAGATAAGACACAGGTCCCTGGGATGGGCTCCGGCAGTAAAAAAAAGTCGCTTATTGGATTAATATAATTTCTAAAATTCTCCCTAAATGAAGGCAAGCCAGGGTTATGGAAAAACGCCCAGACCAATACCTGAGAACTTGGAACAATTATAACGTGGGGAAGAGGGTATGCTTGTGTTTCACTAGGAGATCATCAGTCCCCTGTCTGGGTGCCCACTAGGAGACTTAAACTTCGTGTGAATACTGACAACGAAAACCACAGGGAAGAGACGCTCACATCAGAGACCGCCCTCATACCTGGTGAGATTTGTGCCAACTCCTCAAAAACTGGCATGCCAAATCAAAATGGGTCTGGTTCGATACTCCCTAATGGCAACGGAGACCCCTCTAACTAATCCCACTTCTCTTAATTCCCTTTCTTTTTCTCCTTATGAACCTAAAACTCTCACCATTTCTATTAGCCTGAAAATAACATTCCCCTCTTCTTCTCTTTCTCCTTCAGCAATGGATCTTGCTTACAATAGGTTTCATTTAATAATTCTCCTCCTTGTACTTTCTGTCTCACTATTTTCCCCTCAAACTGATTTACCTGCTACACAAAATTATTCTTATTGGGCTTATGTGCTTTTCCTCCACTTATTCGACCTCTCACCTGGATGGATGCTCCTGTGAAAATCTATACTAATGATAGTGTGTGGATGCCTGGAGCTACAGATGACCGTTGCCCTGCTCAACCAGGAGAAGAAGGCACTGCATTTAATGTTACTATGGGTTATAAATACCCTCCTCTGTGCCTCGGACATGCACCTGGTTGTATCCATCTAGAAACCCAAGTCTGGGCTGCTTAACTTCCTGAGAGATGGGGAACGGGGACATTTGGTCTCCAGCCTCTCCCTTTCTCCTTTAAGACAAATGAAAAGGGGAATAATAGGAGATACCTCATACTTTCAAATATGAATCTGTAGGAAAACCATGTCCTAAAAATTTTGAGGGCCCATCTAAAACTTTAATTTGGGAAGACTGTGTTAACTCACATGCAGTAGTATTAAAAAATGACTCATATGGTTTAGTAATAGACTGGGCACCAAAGGGCTATTTGAAAAACAATTGCTCCTCTGGCAGATAGGAATGCCTGGAGGCTACTTATTTTATTTTTTATAGGGAGGACGAGGATCATCATCCTACTTTGCATAGGAGGTTCAGCTCATTCTTTTCCTTAAAATGGGAAGATAAGGGCATTACTCCCCCGAGGCCTCGTATGATATTCCCCATTCTGAGCCCAGAACACCCAGAACTTTGGAAACTGGCTATGTGATCTACTTCCTGTTCTTACACCCCCTCCTCTTTTGAAACTCTTAATAAAAAACTTGCTGGTTTGAGGCTCAGGTGGGTATCATGGTCCTACTGATATGTGATGTCACCCCTGGTGACCCAGCTGTAAAATTCCTCTTTGTACTCTTTCTCTTTATTTCTCAGCCAGCCGACACTTAGGGAAAATAGAACCTATGTTGAAATGTTGGGGGCGGGTTCCCCCAATAAAGAATGACTGACACTGAAAAATGACTAATGACTTTATTAACAGCCTGCCTAGCTTGGTGAAATGTCAAGTCCTTGCCCTCAAAAAGCTGTGGAAGAATTCCATGAGATTGAAGCCAAATGTGATGAGACATTTCAGCCTCTGGGAAAAAAAAAAAGTATGACACTTACAAGCCTTTACTTACCAAGATACATGAACTCACTGGTGAAATAGAGGGGATATGCATGGACCCTAGAGGCTTGTGGCCCTAAGGAGGACCAAGAGGTACTGGGGGAGAAGAACGGGGAGGAAGAAGGGGAGGAGGAAAAAGTGAAGGTGGAGAGACACAGTGAGAATTTCCCACTCTGAGATGTCTGATGACACCAACAAATAAGAGGAGAGAGAAACTGATGATGAAGAAAACAAAGAACTAAAGTGTTTTTAAAAAATATTGGCAAGCTTTAAAAAGACTCAGTTTTTAATTAAAATACAATATAAGCCTATTCGGATGTTCTTTAAGTAAGGCAATCAGATCCTGTCTTGCCCCAAATTTTCAAATTTTCATTTTGAACACAATAAACATATCCAAAGGTGAAAATAACGAGTTTAACTTGAAACTATTGTTTCATGATCTCTTCTGTGAGGATTTGCAAATTGAGGCCTTTAAAGGATGCCAAGTAGATATGAGGAATGCCACGTCGAAACCCATACATCACACCATTACACTACACATGGAACACCCAAACCAAGACTGAACACATTCAGCTGTGAGCAGTGGCTCACACCTGTAATCCCAACACTTTGGGAGGCCGAGGCAGGTGGATCACCTGAGGTCAGGAGTTTGAGACCAGCCTGGACAACATGGTAAAACCCTGTCTCTACTAAAAATACAAAAATTAGCCAGGCGTAATGGCAGATGCCTTTAATCCCTGCTACTGGGGAGGCTGAAGCAGGAGAATCGCTTGAACCCACCCAGGAGGCAGAGGTTATAGTCAGGGGAGATTACACCACTACACTCCAGCCTGGGCAACAGAATGAGACTGTCTCAAAAAAAAAAAAAGACTGAACAACACACCTTTTTCAAAGAAAAATTATGCCCCATAACTGAGCAGATAAACACATTCCCACTGCTTAACTCTCAAATTCCTTTAGCCTTGAATTTTCCTAGGGCAGAAAAAGCAGAACCCAAGGTAAACACTATCTTTCCTAATCCAGACATCAGCTTTACATTTCAGGGAGTGCTGGAATAGACAGAGCCTGTGGTGGAGACCATGGCACTACTGTTAATGACCCCAGGAAAACTGCCATTTCAAGTTCTGAAGAAGGTTCCGAGTTTAGGGAAACAACATGTTGTCGAGGCCAAAGCAACTCCATCTTGGATGCTAATCTGTCATGTTGACTTATGATTAACCCTAGTCCTGGGAAGGCCTGTAAGACTTCCAGTTTATCTACTGTTTACCGTAAATCCAGCCCTTAGGTCAGAACAACCTTAAAGTGACTGTACTTCAATTGTCCTACACATCATCTCTTCTGAATCACAAATACTCTTTCCCTATTATGTATAAGTCCTGGGTCTGGGGGGTAATGGCACAGGGATCCACCATCTCATCTTGCCACCACCTGAGACAGAGACATGGCTTCCATTCATAAGTGTCTATTAAATGATTAAATGGTTCTTTCTGAGAAACTGGATATGTCAGCCTCTTTCTTTGGTCCCTCAGCTTCCACAGACTTTGGGGGTAGGTTTGCACAGGCCTCCCCACTGCAGAACAATGCTTTAGTGATGTATAACCTGTATGTTATCTTCAACACTCCTATTTATTATTTATAATCTCATGTTTAGGTGTTTTCATAGCAGTGTCTATTTAGGAAAAACGAACAAAATGCGTAAGTATGAAATCATTGTACGTAGCATTTTAGAAGTATTAATGCTCTGGAGGAGACACAGAATGCAGCAAATTCTCTAAAGCAGGTGCATCCCATGTTGTTACGTCGTTTGATCCTTGTGAATGCTTTGTCATGTAGCTTTCAGAATATTACTGTGAAAATTATCAGTACTCTTCACTGAAATGAATGTTTGGGATAAATATGGACTTGAAGAACAAGTGTGTGCCCCTGTCATCAGCTAAAAAGTAGAAAGGATTTAAGTTTGCTTGCATTAGCTACTCTTTCATTATTTTGCTATGTGAGACATATTCAATATAAGATAGTTTGCCAGATAGTTACAGGATCATGCCTGTAAACCCAGTACTTTAAGAAGGGGAGGCAGGAGAATCATTTGAGCCCAGGAGTTCAAGACAAGCCTGGGCAATATATTAAGACCTCTGTCTCTACAAAAAAAAAAAAAAAAAATAGAATAAAATAAATTATCCAGGCATGGTGGCTCACACCCATAGTCCCAGCTACTCAGGAGGCTGAGACAGGAGGATTGCTTGAGTCTGGAAGTTGAAGTTATAGTGAGTCGTGATTACGCCACTGCCCTCCAGGCTGAGTGATAGAGCGAGACCCTGTCTCAAAAAACAAAATAAAGTAGTTAAGGATCAATCAGACTTGGGAAAATATAAATAAAGATGTGCATAATCAAATTGAACTGCTTGATAGACTGGCATATAGCAGTTAAGAATTTTCAAGAAGAATATATCTAATGTAAAGACTCTTAGTTTCTTTGTAGGTTTCGAACTGTATGTGACCCAGTGATCTGGTAAAGAAATATAAGCATACGGTTATTTACCACAATAGTTTTACTTAATATTATCAAACATTTTCCTCTTCTCATACCATGAATTCAGCTAACAAAGTGACTAAACATATTTTCTTTCTGGCAAAGCCTTGCTGAAAGTTACCATTTAATCATTCTTTATAATTTCTAATGAATAAGATTATTAAATAAAAATTAATGACGGAGTGAATGTTTACATGGGCAACTGTTCTGTCTTTGAAGCTAGGTGCCCATCCACATAGGTCATGAGGAAAACTATGTATTTGTTCACTGCTTCACCCTAACACTTACAACCCCTTGCATATAGTGTATTCAACACACGCTTGTGGAACAATGAATATGGAATAAAGGAATGTCCATAATCACTTAAAAAAAAAAAAAATATATATATATATATATATAGTACTTGAGAAAGAAATACAGTGGTGCTTCCCAAATATCTGAAACTATTTGCTAAGACATGTATTGGTATGTCTTATAGTTAAGAGATTACTAAAACTAATTTTATTTTACCAAATACCCAAGAAGAAAATCTAACCTAGCAAATGGCACAAGACTGCAAACAAAAATTGGAAATGGCTTACTAAAGTACAACTATACAGGCACTACACAAACTAAAACAACATAAACCTGGATGAAACAATCAAGTAAATCAATTCCTCAGGAGAGTTAATAACTCTATCTATATCTGATGAGTTTAGTTGTGAAATTAAGCCACACTGACGTAAGGAGCCAATCGAAAGGACACCATCTAGTCTTTGTGCAATTCTGTGGAGAAATCCTAGTAGTTGGAATTCACAGTTTAGCAGAGTATCATTAAAGACCCATCTTTTGGGCCAGGCATGATGGCTCACGCTTGTAATCCCAGCACTTTTGGAGGCTGAGGCAGGCAGATCACTTGAGGTCAGGAGTTCCAGACCAGCCTGGCCAACATGGTGAAACCTCATCTCTACTAAAAAAGCAAAAACTCGCCGGGCATGGTGCTGTGTGCCTGTAACCCCAGCTACTCGAGAGGCTGAGGCAGGAGAACTGCTTGAGCCTGGGAGGCAAGGTTGCAGTGAGCCGAGATTGTGCCACTGTACTCCAGCCTGGGTGACCAAGCAAGACTCTGTACCTGCCCCCCACCAAAAAAAAAAAGACCCATCTTTGGGCCGGGCATGGTGGCTCACACCTTAATCTCAGCCCTTTGGGAGGCCAAGGCAGATGGACTGCCAGAGCTGAGAAGTTTGAGACCAGCCTGGGCAACATGATCAAACCCCATCTCTACTAAAAATACAAAAAGTTAGCCAGTTGTGGTGGGTATATGCCTGTGGTCCCAGCTACTTGGAAGGCTGAGATGGGAGGATGGCCTGAGCCTGGAAGGCAGAGGTTGCAGTGAACCAAGATCACACCACTGTACTTCAGCCTGGGACAACAGAGTGAGACCCTATCTCAAAAAAAAAAAAAAAAAAAAAAAGACCCATCTTCACTGGGCTCCTAACGGGCTTCTCTTGACCTAATAATTCTCTCTAGTCTAGGTCTCAGCCTTCATTTCCTCATATATCTTTCTTCAATAAATCCTTTCCCTAAGGCTTCAATCTTAAACTGGATGCAAATGAAGTCGTGTAATTTTAAAACCCAAAGGGCCCACAAATATAGACTGTCTTCTTGGAAACTGATGCCCAGAGAGATGGGTGACAAGCTCTGAGTCACCCAGTTACAGACACGTTCAGACAAGAATCAGGGCAGCAGGTTCCTACTTCAAGATTCTTTCATTACATCTCGATTGAAAATAGTTCCAGTTTATCTCAATGCTTCTACAACCTTAATTTTTTTTTCTCTTCCCCTTCATCAACTTAACTTTATACTTATTTTGTTTCGATTTTTTTCTCCCACTTTTCTGTTCCATCTGTCCCCCCAGACCTAGAAGTAGAGCATCATTCTAAATCCTCACCACCTGCAACCTTGTTAGACAAGTATGACAACCAGATCTCTAACCTCTCTTTGACATCTCTGGCTTTCCAGGCTTTTGTTGCCTTTTTACAAACTTAGAATTTTAGAATGTTAGAGCTGGAAGGAAAACTACAGGGCAGCCTCTCCCAAACATTCTATAGAACAGCAGATGGAGGAGACAACTTTGCAATGAGAGCAGGCTGAAGAGTTCTGAGATCTATGATTCACTCA